CTTTTTAGTTTTTAAAATAATATTAAAGAGTTTAGTAAGCCAAGAAACTCCCAAATCTCCCAAATATTTCCACACTTCAATTGGGATATCATCAGGTCCTACAGACTTTCCACCCTTGGTTTTCTTTAAAGCCTCCTCAACTTCTTTTTTACTAATGCGACGGTAAAAATGAAACGTTTTATTATTATTTACGATATTAAGATCACTAAGGTCAATCGTATTTTCAGAAACTTCATTAAAAAGTTTATCAAAATAACTCACCCACCTATGTTAAATGTTTTTTTCTAAGAAAAGTACTTCTTGATTTTCATCTTTAATACACTTTACTTGAGTTAAATCTTTACTTTTATTCTCTCTTTGTTTCGCTAGTTTATACATATATTTTTCACTCTCCTTAGTATCTAATCTATTATAAAGATATTTTTCTCAGTTCTCTAAGCTTTTACATTTAAACCAATTTTTATAACATAACTTCTTATATTTTATCTTTTCTTGCACATTATTATTCCACCACCAACTATTTTTATTTATAAATACTTTTTTTTTTATTCTCCAAGCACATCTTTTGCTACTTGTTTAATAATGTTTGTTACTTTATCCCACATAACATTTGTTTCTTTATGAACATCCCAAATTTTGAAATCATGAATTTTACTCATAAAAATAATTTTATTTGTTTTTAGTTTCTCCTATCTAATTCTACGATGATGAGTCCTAGTATTCTTTATTTTATAACTCTTCATCTTAAAATCTAGAACTAATAAACGATGTTGGGTACTTAAATTCTCACTTGAAATAACTTTACAATCTTTACAAACCTAATAGTTAAAAAAAATTAATATTAATTTCATTACATGAAATCTTAAAATCCTAATTTAAATGTAAAAATTGATACAATTATAAAATAAAATAAACCTAACTTATTGTATATATTAACTACTCTAGGCCCAATAAAGCTCTCTCGTAAAGGTGTAAGTAGAAGACATTCGCTAGGAATTCAAGTGGCCATGAATTTAGTGGTTTAAACTAGCCGAGCTTGAGAGAGCCCAAAGTTTGCTCGTGTTCAACTTCTTTAATTTTTTTCTGAATGTGCTCGTGTTTGAAATAGTTCATGTTCATCTTGATTCAAATTTGTTTGTTCGACTTGTTAGGCTGAAATTTGAGCTCATCTCGAGCTTTGATTAATCAAGTAACTCAATTAACTTTTTATCAAGTCGAGCCTTGCCTTGAGCTCTTGTTCAATTTTTATCTCAAATGACTAAAATTTTTATTTAAAATGCTTAAAATAAGTTATGAGTATACCGCAATAAGTCAATCCAATAACCAGGACTCCCACACGGCTATAAGGCTTAAATAAGGGTTTGCACTCCATACATTTAAACACAGATAAGCAAAGTTCCCCAAATAATGTGAGACTAAACAAATATAAGAGATAACATAAGAAAAAATTTATTGGTTTCCGTGATTCACGAACCGTGAAATTCGACTCCAGCCTTCACCATATTTTTTTGTGGGCATTTACATACATACCAGCCAATTCCTATGTATTTACAAATCTAACACCTATACTTTTTACATTTATATCACCCAAATCTCTTATATCGCATTTTTTAAAATACAACATAAAAAATTAATATAAGAAAGAATACAAATAAATATTATTATTTAATTATTTTAAACCAAAACGAGCAGAACACAAACAAACAAATATTTTTTCATGTTTAGCTCGTTTATAAATCAAGTTAAAAAATTGTTCGTGTTTGGCTCGCTCGTTCAATGATCAAATCGAACATGAGCTACTTAACAAACTAAACATGAGTTGTTCGTGAATGACGTGCTTTTTTGACGGCCCTAGCCATGATAGAAGAGGGGGAGAAACTAACTTACAAACATCTTCTTAATTATGCAATAAGTGTATAATTGATCATAAAAGGCAAAATCAAACTTCTGAATTTAGGCATCTTTCATATGTTATAATGTGTTTACTAGTTATTAAAAATATTCAAATCAATTTTTAGGTGCTGAGTGTTTTTAAAACTAAGCTAATAAAATAAAAAAACAAAACATAGAAAAAATGTACTAATAAAAGGAAAAACAAAAAACAAATATGATCCCAAACAAGTCTTAAGTCAATGACAGATATAATTGAAACCACTTTGTTTTGAAGATAATAGAAAGCTCAAGTCATCAACTCCGTAGGATATACAAGTGTTTCATCACAAAGCATGTCAGACGTAATATAACAGCCTACGTACATAATTTCTTCTCCTAGTTGTCACTAAGATAGAGCTGACCCAATTTCAAGCATAAAGAATATAGAAGAAATGAAATTGCTCAAAATTTGGCATACCAAAATTCTGGAAATATTGCAATTAAATATTCATGCTGACACCAAGCAATAGTGATCAAATGCAAATGAAAAAATAAAATAAAATAAATAATAAAAAAACAGTTGCGGTATCACATGTAATACTTTATATATTTTTTATTCAACACCTCAGAACTAAAATTGTGTAATCAATTATGCTTCAGAATCACTTGCATATTCACCATGATATCCATGGAAACAAATGAAACATATAAAAATATAAAAATAAAAAAATAAAAACAGAATTGACCTGGTATATAAATGAGAGTATATAAAGTAACATCATATCATTTGCTGAAATTTTCCTTAGAAAGAAAATCAAAAGGACTAGAATTTAAGTAAAAAAACAATACTTCAAGGTTTAAAAGCTTAAAGAGGGACTGTACCAATGTCCAATCATCATCGATCACAGGAAAGCCAGCGATCCCATACCTCACCAGCTTTTCGAGTGCTGTGACCATGAAATTTGATGAAAATAAGAAACTAACAAAACTTAAATAAGTAAAGACATTTATTAAACAGAACATAAGAACCTTCATCAACTGAAGTAGATGGCTTGACGGTGATGAGATCATCCTTTTTTGTCATAAAATCGCCAATAGTGTAAATACCATTGTTGGACTGTAAATCATCAGATGAACCACATTACAATAAAATTAAAATAGCAAAAATTTTTAGGGAAATCAAGCACATGGATCATGCTAAATGAAGCAAAAGATCACCACCTCTGTTAAAATGTGAAAAATAAGTCATAGTGAAGGATGATTATATGCCATGTTATAGTTCCAAACTTGAAATCTAAATCAAAGCAGGACAAAATCAAACAAAACAATTGAACCAAATAAGCCTAACAACAGTTGGAACTAAACCAAATTCAATTGGAGAGTCTTTATTCATGTTGGACATTAGTTGAAGCTGAGTATGTTTTCTATCTAGCTATCATTGAATGGCGAATTTACACAAACAATAAATTATTGTTCCATGAATGGTAATTTCAATCCTGAGATGCTTATTTCCCTTTTTTCTTTCTCACACAACTGATCCTTTGTTTCTAATGAATGTTCCCTGGCGATTTTATACATCTCATTTGCTCTACCTTTAATACTAAGTTTATTATATAAATCATTAGAAGATACAGCTTCTGCTTTGCTCAATATTCTCCATGCAAAAATTGTAACATTCATATAATCGTTGTAAGGCTTAATAATACACATCTTCTGCCACCTTCTAAAAATAATTTTTTGCTCGTTTGCGCCTCTCATTGAACCTCCTTATCTTCTCACTAATGTCCAACATGCATAAAGACTCTCCAATAACTTCTATGACAATCCTTTTAAAAGAACTCAAACCATCTTATCAGACATTAGATTTGGTTCAAAAAAATATTTACAAGTACTTCTCTTAGTGGCCTATCAAGAACTTTTAACAATCTCACATTATTCAATTTTCATTATCTTATATTATATAGACAAAGACTTTCTCCTTGAATCACTATAAAATCTTTGCTAAGGAATTTTACTTTTCCTACAAAAAAAATATATTAAATCCATTTGTGATATGGGGACTTTACATTTGAAAAAGATTAAGTGCTTCTCATTTGTGAGAATATACATTAATTTAATATCATAGATTACTGTAAATTCAAATATTACTTCTATGATTGCAATTCATTCTTCTACTCCACACCCACATAAAAACCTCACAACCTAGCCTATTATAACTTAACGTCCATTCAAGTACCCCGAATAACAATGCTTTCTCTATGAAGCATATATTGTAAGCTCATCCTTATTATCCCAACATCTTCTAATTCAACTTAAAAAGCATAAGTATTAATCATATTTATATTACTCACATGGATAGTCATTTTAATTGTAATCATCTGATTATTCATTGATGCAGCGAACCATCAGCATAAGTATCACATCATGGATATTCAATATGTCATAAAATCATCTACAAATTACTAAATGATTTGTTTTGTTATTAATAAAAAAGACATCTATGTTAGTGAAGAAATAGGGATGATTACTTTGGTAAAAAGCAATTCTCCTTCATTCATGAGTTGGGCTTCTATAGAGCCTTACAAACTTTTTACAAGTACTTCTTCTATATTTCTTCTATATTTCTTATTTACAATTAGACCCCTCAAAATAAGATACAAATCTCAAGACTCCACCTCAAGGTGGGCAAAAGATATCCACTAAGTCCATCTTGTCACATAATCTAGACAAACCTAATGAACTAAGTTCTTTAGTGAGGTCGTCAGCCACTTATTGTCCAGTGGATACATGACTTAGCTCCAGTAGCCCATTATTTAGCTTTTCCTTGATGAAGAATCTATCAATCTCCACGTGTTTGGTTCTATCGTGTTGAACCAGGTTGTTGGCAATGTTGATTGTTGACTTGTTGTCACACCACAACTTCATTTGAATTCCTTGATCCACCTTGAGCTCAACCAACAAGGCTCTCAGCCACATCATCTTTGCAACTTCAAAGGCCATGGCCCTATACTCTATCTCTGTTGTTGACCTTGCTACTACAGATTTTTTACTGCTCTTCCAAGAGACCAAGTTGCCACCTATGAACATGGAGTATCCTGAGGTGGATCTTTTGTCATCAACACAACTCGCCCAGTCAGCATCACAATAGCTCTCAATGTCTATGTGTCTGTTCTTTCTGAACAACAACACCTTTCCTAGTGCACTCTTCAGGTACCTCAAAATCTTCATATGGTCCTTCCTTAGATCATGCATATAGCAGCTCACCATACTCATTGTAAATGAGATGTTAGGACGAGTGTGACACAGATAAAAGACAACCCACCAATCTCTGGTATCTCTCACGATCAACTGGCTCTCCTGTCTCTGCGCTCAATTTGGTCTTCTGATCAATTGGAGAGACTGCAGGCTTGCATACCAGTGTGTCGGTTTCTATGAAAAGATCTAGTACATACTTTCTCTGAGATAAGACCGTCTCCTCTGGTCCACGAGTCACCTCAATCTTAAGGAAGTATTTAAGTTGTCCAAGGTCCTTCACTTCAAAGTTTTAGCCCAATCTAATCTTTAGTTGAACAATCTCTGTCTCATCATCACCAGTGATAATCATGTCATCAAAATACACAATAAGCATAGTAATGTGACCACCAGAACTTTTCTAAACTTGTCAAACTAGGCTTGAGGAGATTGCTTCAAGCCATAAAGCGACTTCCTAAGCCTGCACAGCTTTCCCACAATCTGACTTGTATTGAATCTTGTTGGTATGTCCATATACACCTCCTTAAATAACTAAACATGAAGAAAAATATTCTTCACATCAAGTTCGTGTAACCTCCACCCACCATTCACAACTAGAGAAACCAGTGTCCTTGTTGTGCTCATCTTCGCCACCGATGCAAAGATCTTGTCATAGTCAATGTCATGTGTCTGATTGTACCCTTTTGCCACCAATCGTATCTTGTAACGCTCCACGTTCATTTCTGAATTTTGTTTTACTGGGGAAATTCACTTGCACCCAACTGCATTTTTCCCTGCTGATAATGGCACCATCTCTCACGTCGCGTTCTTATCGAGAGCACCAAGTTCCTCTAACAAAGCAGTCTTCCACTTTGGATCCTCCTTAGCTATCTGCCAACACTTGGGTATAGAGACAATGTCTAAATATGCAATGAATGCTCCGAGTACAGATGATATGTTAGAATATGAGACAAACTGAACAATGTCATGTGAGAAACCAAAACAATTACGAAAATAACGATCAGGAGAGTCAAACTGAGCAATGTCATGTGAGAAACCAAAACAATTACGAGAATAACGATCAGGAGAGCGACCCACATTACTGCAAGAGGTCCTCCTTAAAGCAATGAGAGTGGGAAGAGAAGGGAGAGGAATCATATTACCAGGGAAATCGGATTCTAAAGTGGAAGGTGTAGGTATCTCAGGGGTTGAGGTAGACCATGACAAGGGAATTGATGACACGAATGGCACGGCAGACACTGTTCCCAGACTTAATGGCACAAGTGACACGGCAGACATTGTTCCTAGACTTGATGGCACAAGTGGCATGACAGACATTGTTCCCTCATTCTATCTTTTCATCCTTTTATACCCTCTCTGCTCCCTTTGAGTTTGAATCTCTCTACCTTCAGGCTCATTTTCCTCATTTTTCAGTTTTCCCTCAGTTGATCCTTCCCACACAAAAAGACAAGGAATCAATCCCACATGCACCACTCTCTGACCATCACTATTCTCCCCCTCACGCCTCATACATCCAGTATCTGAGAGTCACCAAAGGATGAGATCACCTGCAGAATGTGGTATGGTTCGAACTCTCTAAAAGATATATTCATGCTCACAAACAATCTCTTCTTTATCGAACTCCAACAAACATGCCCCTTTTTGGTAGCAGAATAACCCACAAAAACACACTTCACAACTCTAAGATCCATTTTCCCCACTGATAAACTGTTGTTCTTCGCAAAACATACACAGCCAAAAAGCTTCAATGGGAGGATTCTGCTATTATCTCATTTCAGCATCTGACGAGAAGACTTCCAATCCAACACTGTTAAGAGCATTTTTGTCGATCAATTGAGCCGCTGTCAAAACCGCTTGCCACCACAAGTGTTTTAGGACATCCATTGTGATCATCATGCTCCAAGCTACTTATAGAAGGTGTCTATTCTTTCTCTCTGCTACTCCGTTTTGTGTCGGTGAGTATGAATATGTGGTTTGATTTCATACCCCTTAAGCTGACAAGTATTCTCCAAACGACTTGTTGGTATACTCTATCTCATTATCAGACTTCAATATCTTTACTACAACACCATATTAAGTTTGAATCGAATTGTGAAAGTCTTTAAAGCAGGCAAGCACATTATTTTTATTTCTCATCAGATAAAGCCAAATAACACGAGAAAAACAATCCATGAAAAACACAAAATATCTGTAACCATCCATAGAAGTTGTAAAACAAGGTCATAAATCTGAGTGTACCAAATCAAAAACATGAACTTCTTTCAGAACTAGTATAAGAGCTCCTGATATATTTACCAAACTCACAAGCATCACCCACAAGGTTCTGTTTCTTTGTCTTTTCATATAAGGATGGATATAAACGACTAAATAAACTAAATGACCATGCGTTTGTGATGTAGTAGCAAAACATCCTTCACACTCTTCTCAGATCCTCCTGCTCCAGTATTCTCAATCATGAATGATAAAGCTTACTTCATCCCCTCTCTATCCAAATACCAGAGTCCACTATGTTATGTGTTTGTCCCAAGTCTCTGGCTAGTCTCATTCTCTTGAAAAATCACCTTCGAAATATCAAATGTAACAACACAATTTAATTGGAGTATAATGACACTAATGGATAAAATGTTCACCATAAAAGAAGGAACATACAAAACATTAGACAAAGCTATAAAATTTGTACACCTCACTATACCTTTATCAACCATAGGCCGTGTTGTACCATCAACGATCTGAATACTCTCTGAAACCATTAGTTGAGTGTAGAAAGAGAACTCACTAGCAACACCTGTCACATGTCGAGATGCACCAGAATCTACGATCAATTTTGGTGATCTTGTGGTGGATATTGAGGCAAGAGAATGTGCA